GTACGTTTTCGCCGACCAGGTCACCCAAGAAGTGCGCAGTGTCTTTCGCGAAGGATGTGAAGTTCCAATCGCCACGACCGAGAAGAACGTATAAAGAGAAGAGGCAGGAAGTGATCATCGTGAACATGGAGACACTTACACAACGAGAAAGTCGTTCCGTCGAGTTGGAGTTCGCCAAGCACAAAGCAAGGTTTAGAGCTCAAATCATGCTGGACATGATCAATGATGACCGAGAAGCTGATCGAACTTCGTTCGTGCGAATACCCAGCACATCTCGAGTGGAAGAAGTCGCATTGTATGATGGTGAGGACACCGTTGTCGAAGGCGAGCTGAGAGCCACAGACAGCAAGAAAGTCATTGAACAAGGCAACCTGTTCATCTGCGCAAGAAGATCAAGTTCTTGATGGACACCGGTTGTGGTCACGATCTCATTTCGCAGAAGAAGATTCAAAAGCATGAGCTAGAAGCGCTCGTTACGCCAGAACCCATATCCTTCCAGACGGCAAACGGTGTGAAAGACACTGATCCCGTGTCAAACTTCAAGACCGAATCGTTTGAGGAGCCGATCAATGCCTATGTGTTGGAAGACACACCTTCAGTGCTTTCCATCGGAAAACGATGCATGAATCACAAATACGGGTTCGTGTGGCCTCCTGGAAGGGAGCCTTTCATGATCAATCCCGAAGGAAAGAGGATTTCTCTTTTCGTGAACGGTGATATTCCTTATCTACGAGCTGGAAGCAGCAAATCGCTGGTTCACGATGATGCCGAGGCAACAGCTATCTCTGAAGTCTTCATGAAGATAATGTCCCACAACGAAGTGCAAGCCAATGTGGCAGCTGTTGCAGAGGCAGCGCCGAGTGAAGAAGAAGGTGATGAGGAAGGCGTTGCGCATGGGCGCCCGCCTGATCCTGATCCGCATGAAGTTCCTGGAGAAGAAGTACCAGAAGCCGGGGCAGGGAGACCTCCGGACGATGTTCAAGGAGGAGTCGGAGATATTCTTCTAGATGATGACGATGAGAAAGTTATCGAGGTTGAGGGCGAAGGGGCACCAAGCAGAAAAGCAAAAGTTGGTACCTTGAAAGCCGAAGCCAAGAAGCTTGAGCACTTGTGCACTCATCGTTACAGAAATCCTTATGGTGAATCATGCATTCGTGCAAAGATGAAGCACTTCCGTCCCCTGATAATGCTCGACTTCCTTGACATGCGCAAAGCTGCTGACGCAGGAATCGGAATCGATGATGGAGCGAGAGAAGTTCTGGTCATCAGGGACAGTGCAACTAGGATGATTGCTGCAATCCCGACCGGGTCCAGGCATACCGATCACGTCGTCATTGCGCTCAAGAGAATGATTGGCAGACGCAAAGTCAAGATGGCTTATAGCGATGATGTTCGTGATTTTCGAAGCAGCTATGAGATACCACTGGATCATTCGCTACCGGGAAAGCGCAGCAACAACTCTCGCAGAAATTACGAATCAGGAGATTATCAACACGGTCGCAACCGCCGTGTTACATGCCGGTTTACCCTCACAATATTGGACGTTTGCGCTGACTTGCTTGACGCACAACCTCAACATTGAGAACGTAGAGGGTGACGGGGATTCGTCATGGAAGAGAATGGCTGGAGTTGATTTCAAAGGGAAAGCCATTCCATTTGGTGCCAAGGTTTTCTTCAAGCCCACGGACACGAGGGAGAAGACATATGGTAACAAGTTTGATCCAAAGGGGATACCCTGCATATTCGCAGGGTACGTCGTTACAGTGGGCCAAGGGTGGTCAGGGAAGTATCGCGTGTGGGACATGAAAGAGTTTGCTCATGTGAACCTGTCCATGGACGCAGCCGTGCCCAGAAAGTTGGCGCAACCGTATCAGACGGAGGTCGTCTACCTCCCAGATGAGATCACCCATTGAAAGCAGAGCATGAAAGAATAAAACGAAACACTTGAGGTTTTGCAGGATAACGTGGATCTCGGAGGCAAGGAGATCAACGATATTGATGACGGTGACGACAATCCTCCTGGCGGACCGGAGGTGGTAAAGGCGGAGTCGGAGATGATGATCCTGATGATCTCTTTCCACCGCCTGATCCTGGAGAAGATCCTGACTTGGCTGATATGGATCCATCCGATGTGGAAGGAGAACCTCACGGTGACGATGTCAAGTCCATGGAACATGAAGCGATGGATGCAATCGGTGACAGAATACTTGAAAGAGCTGAGAAGGAGGCATCAGGATTCGCTGAGCCACCAACCATTGAACCCATCGGATCCGGGGACGATCGACGCTCGCTTGACGAAGTCGGTCCATCCGGAAGACTCATTCCCAAAGGGGACAGCGAAGAACCAGGAGAGATCATCAAGATCTTGAAGGATAAGAAGTTGGCTCCTGATGAGATTGAACATTGGGGAAAGGGGTTGAAGGGCGATGGAAAGGTGTACCTGACGGACGATGACGAAGCCTGCAAGATCGACAAACGGGAAGTCCCGTACAAGGTTGGTAGCGACGGAAGACGGATACTTCCTTCACGGCGCCCTATTCACTCATACACTCCCGAAGCATGGAAGAAGATGAGCGAAGCCGAGAAGAAAGCAGCGTGCAAGAAGGATAAGCGAGATAAAGCTCGTGCTGCGAAGAAGGACCGGAAGAAAGCCGCGATAGGAAGAAAAGTCGTGAGCAAGGTGTTGGATAATATGACATTTCGCAAGAGTGTGCAGTGTGGCAAGATCGATCTACAAATGAATGTTCTACATGAAGAAGACGACGGTTGGTCATGGGCACAAGACATTGTTGATCAATGCACTCAAGGGCGATTCTTGGAAGATGTCGTTCCGGCAAAGCTGTTGGAAGTGTCATCCTGAGGACCGCCCACAAAGAAGATCGCAGGAAGAAGCAGTTACAAGAAGCTATGAAGGAATTTGCGGTCAAATGTGTGTGTGGTGCGGCGAAGGAGTATGGAGTCGACAGAAGGAAGGACATATGAACTGTGCATGCACAGAGTGCATAAGGGATCATGCTGAAGCTACATGGCGTGCATGGTATGATTACAATGAAGAAACGCGCAAGAAGACACCTCCTTTCTCGCTTGGCAAGGGACAGAGATCCTGAGAATTCCCTGTACCTTTTCAAAAGACGGAAAAGGGCATACACTCAAGGAGAAAGGGTGGAGATTCCCCCAACCCTCAACGACAACACGGAAAGGGTCCCACCAAGTCATTCAGCAGAGAGCCCCTCTACCTCTTGGTAAGTCTCCATCCCTCTGAAGAGAACTGAAGGGAGCTCGCTTCAAGTCGAAGAAGACAAGGCTCAAAGCTCCTCCAGTTTCAAGAAGACGAACGAGAGACAAGAGAGCTCCTTTACCTACAGTCATCGACAAGACATGAGCTTCATTTCCCTATATGGGTAAGGAAGAAATCCCCTAGCAAGTCCTCTACCGCAACATCTCCAAGGAGCAAAGAACCCTTCCAACTTCACGAGGAATAACAGTACCCCTGCTGCCTCTTAGTCGAAACCAAGAGAGAGGAGCTCCTTGTCGCCCCCGCTTCGGATAGAAGAGGGATAGCTCTCAAGAAGTGAGGACAGAGCTCTCTCAATCCTCAAAAGAAGAGCCTGATCCTCCTCTCAGCCTTCAACAAGATATGAGCAGCCCTCTACCCCATCCTCTGAATCAGAAAAGAACCCTTCGAACTTCACGAGAAGTAAGAGAACTCCAGCTGCGTTTTAGTCGACAATAAGAGAGAGGAGCTCCTTGTCGCCACCACTTCCTCTCCAAGGGATAGAAGACAGATAGCTCTCAAGAAGTGAGGACAGAGCTCTCTCATTCCACATCATTCTTGGCCAGAGAAGATTTCTCTAGAGAGATTTCTTATCAGTCGCCAGCCTTCAAGAGAAAAGACCTCATGCTCCAAAACAAGAAGAGAGTTCCCCCAGGTTGTTCGTGGCGATATAACAGAGCATCACGAGAAAAAGAGAGCTCCGACTGCCTCTCGGGCGATAAGAAGAAAACTTCTTTCTCTCTTCGTCAGGAGCGACAGCTCTTGACCATCTCCTCCTCTTGAAAAAACATGGAAGAGAGCTTACGATCAAGAACAAAGGGTGGAGCTTTTCCAAATGTCAAACCCTGACAAGAGAAAGGCTGGTCCTCCCCGCGGCTTTCACAAGGAAAGAGAAGCCCAAGCCCCCTACCTTACCCTGTGAAAGAGGAAGAGAGCTCACTCCAAGTTATGGTAAGAGACGAGAGCTTCATTCTAGCAGAGAGAGCCTTTGCCTCTTGGTAAGTCGCCTTTATCTTAAGAAGATTGAAGAGACTTCGCTCCTAGCAAGAGAAGCCAGGGCTCCCCAGCTTCCAAAAAGAAAAGTCGTCTACCTCATCCTCCACAAGAAATGACTGCTACAGGTTGTTTCGCGAGATAGATCCCAAAATCATAAATCGCAAGGGGTGTCCCATTAGGTTTTGAAGAAACGCAGAACCCAAAATCACGGATCGCAAAGGGTGTCTCCCTACAGGTTTGTGTTAGAAATAAGTTCCCCAATCATAAACCGGAAGGGCTGTCCTAAGTGTGATTTGTCACTGACATGCGTATATGTGCTTCTGCCTTCTGGTTAGGAATCAGGCCAACTTTGTCTCACTACGCAGCTTGACTGCTCAAGGACCGCTGTTGCGAGTCCCAGGAAAAGGCCGCTTACGACCTGGGGGTTGTAGGACTTGCCTCTTACCTGAGCGTCCACCTTTACGGTTTTAATCTCTGATTGTCCTGCTCTGCACCGCTTGCTTTGCTTTGATCTGCGATCGGCTGCCTTGGGCTTTGTGACCGAGAGTTGAGTGGAATCCTCCGCTTTTCACAGGTTATCAGCCGTAAGGCCTCCGCATCCGATTGTGGATTGCTGCTTCGCTGCTGCTGCTTGGCACTCGGACCGCCTGATCCAATCAGTGTCTGATCACTACCGTTTTCCTGGCTCAGACCAAGTTCGGAACTTGTGATTGGCCACGCCACCGAGAGAATGGCGACTCCGATCGGTTCTCCCCGTGTCCCCTCGACTGTCGGTTCTTCACTAGTGACGCCAGTTGCTCGGGATGTCGTGGAGCCCGATGATAGTGCCCACGCATCTCGCTGCACTGCACCCGCCTCGCACGCTTCGCTCGCTCGCTCTGCTTCGCTGCTTGCTTCGCCGCCTGCTGAGGACGATCAGAGAGCTCAGCACCATGCGCCGCTTTTGCCATGCTCTGCTGCCGCTTTCGCAACGCCTGGCACGATGCACGCCGGCATGCTGCCTGCTCCTGCCACCGCTCGTGCTTTGCCTTTGTTGCCTGCCTTTTCTGCGTCCGCTGCTCCTGCTGCTTCCGCACCTGCCCTTCTTCCGACCGATTCTTTGTCTTGTCCTCTGTCCCTTCGCGGGGATCCAGAGGGCGCTCGGGCCCTCTTTGGGTCCGGGCCGGACGGCCGTGGTCCACCGATTTCGGACCCGGCGTCCTTCCGTCCACCGCGCCCCGATTCTTATGGGCCGGTGGCAGGCCGCGGTGGAGCCTCGCTCCCCGACGAGCCTATGAGCGAGCACCCGGGTGCACCCCATGTTTCCGTCGCAACGATTACCGCGGCGGATCATGGTGGTGCTGCCCCCGCCACCGATAACGGCGGGAGGCTTCCCGGTCCCTGCGCTGTCAGGGCCCTGGTCGATGAAGCCATTGGGTCGGAAGCATCCGCGCGTATCGCCACCGATATTTTGGCGATCGCGCAGGGTGTATCCGACACCCAAGCCGACCTCGATATCCTGAGGATCGGCGTCTCGGACATTGCTGAAGCACTTGAAGACAAGATCCGAGAAATGTGGGAGCTTCTACAGGCCGAAATGAGGAAGGAGCGTGAACTACACACGATCTTTCAGGACTCCGTCCGCGAAAGGCGGATTTCGGATCATGAAACTCTTGAAGAGCATTTTGCGAGGCTCAACTCGATGGTCAACGATCGATTCATTGAGTTTGATGAGCGGATCCACCGATTCAACGAAAAGCGTGCTGGATCGATATCCATGCAGCTTGCTGAGACGATCCGCCACATCAAGCATTACCCTGATGCGCTGCAGCAAATTCAGATCAATATCTCAAATGCTGAGGCGCGCATCGCTACGGTTGAGCAGAATGCTACTCACCGTATCGAGGTCATTAGAACCGAAATGAGCCGTGCTCTCTACGATCATAAGGAGAGTAACCGTGTTCTCATCGATCAGCTCACTGCTCGCATTCAGCATCTTGAGAGCTCTCATGTCCGCAGGGGTGGTTCTGACATGTCGACACCTTCGCGTCCGGAACGGACGCAGTTCTTCGACATCAGTGACCATGATGGGGATATCCCACGTCCCGCGGACTTGCCGCCAGTTCCTGGTGCTCTATTCCCTGGCGGACCGACTACAGCCATTCCGAGATCTTCTTTGTTAGGTCCGATTGATCATGGCTCTCCGCCGGGATGCAATGCTGCGCCTGCTGAAAAGGCCTCAACGGTGCACTCTCAGACGAGTGGCATCAATCTTGATGACATTCTGAGGCGCGCGCAGCAACGAGTCGCTGATGATCATCCTCCTGAAAGTCGCGGGCAAAATAATCCTGTTGAGCCCGTCCGACAAAATTATGGCCAAACGTCTGCCTCTTTTTCAGGAAGATCTCCGATTCCGACCGTTCCGTCCACAAATGCCGCCGGAACGACATCCGGCCAAGCTCCGAGTGTCAGACCCTTCCCTGTCGATGATGATCTGGCCATTCGCAGTGGCGTCCGCTATGACCCTGAAACCCAGAGATTTGCTCCAGAGCCCAAGCGGAGCCCTACATTTCCGTGCCAGATCTCATATGATACGCGAACTGTTCCGGCAGGAAAGGGACCTTCAAGATGGTATGATGCAATGCTTGGCCGATCCAATCTCATTGGCAGCGGTTCTGGTGCACCTGTTCTCCAAAGCGAGACTGATACCTTCACGCTAGCACCGAGCGCAAGCGTCACTGGGACACTTCGACCTGCTGCCACTGATGATGTCGATGGATGGACTATGCCTCCGATGCCCACCTTTAATGCTAGAACATCCGCCCCTGCACCCAGTGCTGCGCCATCCGGATTAGGCGGACCGCCGCCCGCGCATGGCGGTGACGGTGGTTCTTTCGGTGGTGGTGGCCCCAACGATAACGGGGGTGCATATGGTGGTGGTTTTGGTGGACATGGACACCATGGGTCCGGTTTCGGCCCAGGTGGCGGTGGTGGACCACCCAGTGGCCCGCCCAGTGGCCCGCCCGGTGGTGGTGGCCCTCCTGACGGGAATGGCCCGACTGATGGTGGACTTGATCCGCCTAGCATCAGGCCCTCCGGCCGGCCGAGTGGGAATGATACTTTCCAGTGCGAGCGATGCACCGGAACTTTCCCAACCACCGTGCGGCGATCGTGCATATCTTGCCGACTCTCGTGTTGCAATGGATGTTGCCGAGATCCTTTGAGAATCTGTCTCGTGTGTCTTGAGAGACAGACTGGGAATCCGCCCGGTCCCAACGATACGGGATTCGGTGGACCCAAGGGCGATGGATCGCTGAGCGAGGCTAAGAAGGCGAAATGCAAGTCCTTCCGACTCGATCCCGAGCCGGAGCCCGCTCAGCTGCGGCGCTGGATCGTCGACATGAAGGAGCGAGTTGCAAATGCATTCGCGTACGATCCCGGATACGCACTCTCGTGGGTTGAGATTCCCGATGGTACACGATATGAAGACCTTCTTGATGAGTGCAAGTACGGAATGCTTGAGAATGAATGCAACTCTGCATTCCGCGAGTGCGTCAAATCCATTGCACTAAAGAATAAGATCCAGACCGAAACCGAGCGCATGCATACGATAAATCGGCGACTCGGCAGCAGGCAGATCTTGTGGTTGTTGTATGATTTCCTTCGACCACATGTCACTGGCGATTCGACCTTCAAGCTCGTCGATCTGATGAAGACCACGATTGATCGGTTTACTCATGGATCCGAGCAGGAGAGGCTAGAAGCCTTCTCCAATCGGTGGGATCATGTTCTCGCTGGTATCTCAGTCGATCGTCCCGAGGATCCTGTTCTCTGCGCACTCTTCTATGAGCAGGTACGTGAGTTCCGCTGTCTCGAGCTCGATATGCAGTTGTGGGACAGGGACGTGTCTGTCCGGAACTACGCGTACTTGCGGACTGTCTGCGTCAATGCGATTACAACTTGGCGCCGGCGTCGCAACCAGGAGAAGATGTAAATCGCTACTCGATCCACCTCTGCGCAAAGACGGTATGCTGCACCTGCACATGGTAGCCCACGCAGATCCTTCTGAAGAAGCAAGAGGGGATCTAGATCTCCTGGACACCGAGACTCAAGAAGAGGGAGTCCCTACCGAAGGAGCTCGCCGAGGCGCTCGTCGCCCAGACGATCCTCCCCGAGGCGCGGTTCGCCGAGGCGATACTCGCCGCGCAGTCCGGGAAGGGCCGCTCCTGCTCCGACGCGCCCTGCGTCACGATCTCCACGAGGGCGGGAAATCTGCTACGATTTCAAGAACGGCAGATGTACGCGAGGAAGCGGTTGTAAGTTCTCTCACAACCTCAAGGGCAGAAGCTCCTCGCCGAAAGGATTCCCGCCTCGATCCCAGTCACCGATATCAAAGGAGTCTGGCATATGCTTCTACTATGCCCGTGGATCTTGCACAAGAGGTGATAAGTGTCCGTATAAGCATGTGAAGCCTGGTGCTCCTGCTGAGAGCACTTCTGTTGCCGCTCCTGCGCCTGCTGAGCCCGCGCCGACATCAAGGCGGGTTGACAGCCCGGCGCCAACGCCCTCGGATTTTTGAGAGGGGCGTGCCGCAACCCTCAGGCAATGACAGCATCCTCCTTTGGAGACTTTGCATTCGCTTGTGCAGCATCATTCGATATGGCATGTCCGTCAGTCAAGCGGAAGACAGTGTCATTTGGGAACACTGAGACCCGCATGATAGAGTCTTCTTTCCCGGAGCCGGCCTTCGGCCCCGTCAATCGCGAGAGGAATTTGAGCTATTCGTGGCCGGAAAATATCCGTGGTCTGAATAGTGCTCGCGAGAGGCGAAGAGCCCATATGAAGGCTGTGCTGTGGCGAGAGCAGGTTTTGCTCGATGACATTGATGCCAAAACGTTAGGAAATGATGCTTGTGTTCTTGAGCTCACGCTTTCTCAGCGGAGCGCTTGCGAAGTCTTTGCTGCTGCTGTCAAGTCTATTAAGAGGGTACGGAGACTCATGCTTGACTCCGGTTGCGGTATAGACCTTATTGGTCTCGGTGATTTATCCCGTGAGGAAAGGGATCTGATCGTCCAGAATGCTAAGATCAGTCTTCGGACAGCCAGTGGGAAGACCAACACCAAGGGTGTCGCGCATATGCGCATCGATGGTCTCGATGAACTGATTGAAGCTTATGTGTTGGAAAGCACGCCAAGTCTCCTTTCCCTTGGGAAACGATGTAAGGAGCTTGGTTATCGATTCATTTGGGAGCCCTTTTGCGATCCGATATTCTTTGATCCGAAAGGGAAACGCCTCAAGGTCGACGTGATCAATAATATTCCCTATCTTGCTCCAAGTGAGACAGAGGTAGTGGCCGGCCGACCTGATCTCCCTCGTGTGTATCCGGCCCTCCCAGCACCGATTATCGTCCACGAAAAGGTCGTTGCAGCTGGTGAGGAGCCTGGCAGCGAATTAGACGCTGTCGGAGAACTTGATCTCGATATGCCCAACGCCAAGAGCGTTCAGAAGAGTGCACCTGACGATAACAAGAAGGTGCCCGACAAGGGTAAGCCTCAGTCGCCGCCTGATGAACCTAGAGCGCGCGATCTGAAAGATGAGGCAAAGTCAATCCGTCATCTCATGACTCATCTCCCAAAGAACCCCTATTGCGATGCCTGCCAACGTGCAAAGATGGAAAATGTTAAATCCTTTCGTCAAGACTCACCGCGCGATAAAGGGTTTGAGAAGTTTGGCGAACACGTTACCATCGATACCATGGTGTTGCATGGGCTCGGCAATCGCGGGAATAATGGGGAGACGGATGCTGTCGTCTTCTACGATCTAGCAACCGAGTGGCTGGAGAGCGTTCCCGTTAAGGGAAGAACGAATGCCGATACGCTCCGAGCATTTCAGCAGGTCTTTGGCGATCTTCGAGATGTGAACTCGTGCTCCATGGATGTGGAGAGGAGGTATGCACCTTCTGCGATTCGGGAGATCTATTGTGATAAAGCCCGTGAGTTCATATCGACCTGCAAGAAAGTCGGCATATCTGTGAAGCACTCCACCCCGGGAATGCCTCGAACTAATGCCATTGCCGAGAGCAAGGTGAAGCTTGTCCTTCATGGCGCACGTGTGGCGCTACGACAAGCGGGATTGAGCGCCAAATTCTGGCCTTATGCATGCAAGCACTTCTGCCATGCTCGCAACATCGAGTTGCGCGAGGGTCAGAGTGCCTATGCGATGCGATTTGATGGTGTTGAGTTTGACGGTCAGATTCTGCCGTTTGGTTGCCTTGTTGACTTCTATCCTACGCCGGCACGAAAGCAGACCCGGCGGAGTCAGAGAGATGAAGTTGTCCTCGGCGATGGTGAGGAGTACGCCGTACCTGCGCCTGGGGCCGACGGACTGATTGATGTCGAAATTGGTTTCGATGACGATGGTTATTTAGAGTGGATTGATGACGGAGACAATGATCAATCTAGCACTCTTCAGGGCGCCGACGTTGATCAACGCTTGTCGTCTTACCAACGCCCCGGTAAGTTCTCCCCTACGAGTAAGCCTGGTATTTTTCTGGGTTATCATTTTGAGAACGGGGGCAAGTGGGACGGTGACTACATTGTCGCCGATTTGGAAGACTTCAAACGCGATGCATTGCGTGCGAGCGTCCATCAAGTCAAGAAGATATACTGCTCACCCAAGGAGCGATGGACGTTCCCGATGCTCGCTGTGTATGACAAGCAGACTCGATCAATGTGCATCAACGATCCTGCGATGCAATCCTGTGCGCCTCAATCTAGTGAGCGCCTTGACGCCTCTGATATGCTCGAACTCGAAGATATCGATGAAATATTTGCCCTCGACGAGCCGACCCGAATGACCGAAGAAGATGTTCGGCGGGCTCGTGAGGCCGAGTTACGAGCCGAATCTTCTCATGGAGGAGGTGTCGATTACTGGGAATATGATCCATCGAGTCATAAGTGGACTTATCACGTAGTCGTCCCGAGAAAGGCGATGATTCATCCCAGTAAGACTCCCGGATCTCTTGGCGAGTCGCCTGATCCGTGGAAGCTGAGCGCAGTGCGTATTTCGCATGTTCGGTATAAGGATAAAAGCCCGGTTACGATCTACGAAACCGGCTATGCCTTCGGCAAGACGAGACTGATGCAACTCTGGACAGGCACTGTCGAATTCTTTGATGATGGCTTTGCCCCATCCAAGAAGAAGTTACCTCCTTACCATGGGTCGGAGATCCTGGAGGGCGAGGGGGGTTTGCCTTACCGTCAGAGTGTGCCGCGCTCCGAGCGTGTCTACAGAGGGTCTCGAAAACCGAACTCTATCGACTCCGAATCCTGGCGCAGCATGAATCGCGCCGAACGGGAGGGGTATGTCGAGGCTGAGCGCCGAGAAGCTGAGTCTCACGCCATGTCCCGAGAGGATTCTCGCGATGCCGCTCCTGTCGACATCGCTTTCGATTCCGAATATGAGTCGGGTGCTGAACGGCATGATAAGGATTATTGGTATCACGATGTCGCAGCTGGCACGGTCACCCGATTTCATGTGATCGAGCGCCGAGCGCGCTTTAATCCCACCTCAGTGAAGGACTGTCCTGTCGATCCTGCGACCTTGACAGATGTCAGGATGACTATGGCCATGACCGATGGCACAGAATTTACGTTGCAGGATTCATGGAGATCATCCGATGTGCGATCTCTGCCATGTCGATGGACAGGAAAGACCGTTTTCGTTTTCGGTTCTTCTGCCCAAACACAGATCAAGGTTCGAACCAGTCTGCCGAATAACGACGGAACAGAGCGCCGAGTGCAAACGGCGAACGGCTATTATGGCCACGCATTACGTGCGAAGGGACGTGTTGTAGTCCCTGCTAAATCCCGCGCCTGTGTTGTTACCGACCTTGAATTCGATCCCCCAAGCGGCATGTCGGCCCGCCTTCAGCCGCTTCGCGGTAGTGGCCTCGATATTTGTCCGGCCATGTATACGTACAACGAAGGGGCCACCCAATCCGGGGTCGACGTCCTTAATCCTACCGACACCGATCTTATTGTCGAACCAGGACAGGATGTGGCAGTGGTTCAGTTTTATACTTCCGTGCTAGCCGCAGTTGAACTTGATTTCACGGATGAGGATACCGGGGATGGTACTTCTGCACCGGTCGAGCCCTCCAACGACTGTCTGGATACCGATGCAGCACCTGCGATGTCCATTCGTTCCGATCCTCATTCGCATCGCTCTCCAGACTCTTCGGTGTTCTTTTACAGCGCGTGTGTCGCACGGCCTGTTGATCGAAAAGAACGTGCCGCTAATCCCAAGGCCAAGGCCGCCCTTGATAAGGAGTGGAATAAACTTATCAACCAGGGCTGCTGGGATTACGCCTCAGTGCGTGAATGGCGCGATGTATCTAACGAGGCCATGGCGAAAGGAGAGACGGCCCATGTCGGTCGTATCTTCGATATATGCGTGGAAAAGAACTCCGAGCTTCCAGAATCCGATCCAAATCGAAAATTTAAGGGTCGTGTCGTGTTTGAGGGCTGTCATGTCAAAGATGAAGGCAACAATTGGGCGATTTTCTCCGAGATAACTTCATGCCCCGCGACCATGGAGGCAGGGAAGGCCGCTGATGCTTTCGGTCTCTTGCCCGGTCACGAAATACAAGTTGCTGACGGCGAGTCCGCCTACACTCAAGCTAAGCTTGGTGGCCCCGCCACATGGGTGCGACTGCCCAAAGATCGATGGCTGCCCGAATGGCATGGGAAGTATCATGACCCGGTTGTGCGTCTTGTCTTGGCCCTTTATGGGCACCCGGATGCCGGTGGGTTCTGGGAACAGCATTGCGAAAAGGCTCTCCGCTCTGTTGGCTTCGAGCAATGCCCTGACTGGAAGAGCGTGTTTCGCCATCCCAAGCTTAACCTTATGCTCGCGGTCTACGTCGATGATTTTAAGCTCAGTGGACCAAAGGCCAATCTGGCCACAGGGTGGGAGCTCATGGCATCAAAGATTAAGTTGGAGCCGCCCTCGAGCATCAAACGTTATTTGGGTTGTGAGCATGTTACTTTCTCTCATGTTGTTCCTAATTCTTTTGATCCGCGCTCCTATTGGACGCGTTTCGAGGAACCCAAGAAGGCATTTCCCGAGCTCACTTTTGGCGATCGTGACACTACTGTCGCTCAGGGCTCTGTCGGTCCTTGCGAAATCCGAATGATCAAGTACGATATGCGATCGTTCATGGAGCAATGTGTCTCTCGCTATGTTGAGCTCTGTGGTCCGAAATACAAAGCCACCTTGCGGTCGGCTGACACGCCGTTTCTCGATGAGTCACGACCGGAGTTCGATACTAATCCGGATCGTCCCGAGGTGAACCGCTTGTTGGGCCATCCCACCGATACGCCTATACCTCCTGGTAAGGGCGTTCTCGGTGACTGCGCTGCCGCTGTCCTGATGAAAATCTTGTATGGTGCTCGCATGGGGCGACACGATCCCATCCGTCCTGTGCAGGCACTTGCTAGTCTCATCACCAAGTGGGATGGTTTGTGTGACAAGAAGCTCCATCGATTGGTGTGTTATATCAATTCCACCCTCGATCTCAATTTATATGGTTGGATTGGTGATGCGCCCGAGATGTTAGAGCTTGTGCTCTATTGCGATGCTGATCTTGCGGGCGACCGCACTGATTCCAAGAGCACGTCTGGTGTCTTCATGTGTCTTCTTGGCCCGCGTAGCTTTATGCCTCTTAATGCGCTATCCAAGAAGCAGACTTCTGTGTCAAAGTCTACTCCCGAAGCCGAAATTGTCTCCCTTGATCACGCCGTCTATAAACTGGGATTGCCCGCTCTCTCCATGTGGGAGTATATGTTGGGCCGTCGCTTCCGTTTGCGTGTCATGGAAGACAATGAAGCTGCCATCCGAGTCATTATCACTGGTCACAATCCTAATATGCGTCATATGTCTCGTACCCAGCGTATCGATATTTCTGCGTTGAATGAACGCTACCACGCTGGTGACTTTCTGTTTGTGACGTGTCCCTCTCAGTTTGAGGCTGGTGATATCCTGACCAAGGCCTGCACTGATGCCAAAGTGTGGGGTCGCAACCTTATGTCTATTGGTCATTTTCGCAAAGGTACTCTTGTTTCCTCTGGTATGTTGTCTGCCGCTCCCGCTCTCTCTGCTCTCCCCTCTGTCTGTCCAACCAGGGGGGTACATCTTGAAACTGGTCACAGTCCCTTCAACGATTTCATCCTCGAAATGTCTCGTCAGGGGGGTATTTCAATTGATGATGCTCACCAATTCGGAGCAGCCATAAAATGTATTCATATCGGAGGCGAAGGCATAATCCGATTCCCTCATGCTCGAAGTATCAATCTCAGTCTCGACGATAATGCAAAGGGGATTGCTATTTCGAACATCAGGGTTCCGCCTACGCCTGCGGTATGTATTGTTACTGTTCCGATTGCTGGCACCGCTAACAAAAGAGAAGCCGGTTTCAAGAGCAGGGGTTGGAAAGAAATGAGGGGCGACCTCAAAGAAAAAGGATGGGAAGCCAAGAAATTACTCGGGTACGCTTCCGCTGCCCGGTCATCTGGAATCCCTGCATTCCTTGTGCTACCGAAGGGAAACCCATTGTGGGGTAGGGAGTACATAAGACGATGGTCTGAATCGCACGAGCTTTGCCCAGTTAAGCTGTGTTCGTGCTCCTCTGGTCGATGTTCTCAGCATGCGTGGATGTGCGAGATTTTCATGCCTGCCCGGTTTGGGCCCATCTTCATGTCACGATTTGCATGCAATCACAAGAAGGCCAAAAGGGTCGACCCGAAAGAGCTTCGATTTGCATTGTGGGCTGTGCTAGAACATTTCATCAATTCTGCGGTTTTTGGCTCACAGCAATCCGCGTTGCCGATTGCTTAAACAAAGACGCCAAGGCCATGCACATACTTACACACTCACACTTGACTATAGCCTGGTAAGGAGCTCTAAGGGCAACGATCATGGATCACCTTCATCAACCGACCATCACAGACCACCTCTACTACGACTCAGTCCATAGCCCACTTGCGCTCCCTGCTAGGACAGGTTGTAGCTGCCACGGGCTGCGAACTTCTCCGCGCTGCCGCCGCTGCTGAACGATGGGAGGAAAGAACAAGCAGCCACCGAAGAAGGCTGCCGCCAAGACACCGGCTGCCCGATCACCTCAGCCGAAATCTCCCTCGCCTTGCGGGGAAGGCCTTCCGAGCGGCCCGATTGCGCCGACTACGGAAAGGCCTCCTGCTCCGCCGATCCCTACGGAGCAGGATGACGCCAACATGGGCGCCGATGAAGCCCCAGTCCCGATTCAGACCCCGAGAGATGAGTCTACTGGGGGTGGGAAGCGCTCCGAGGACGTTCCGATAGGATTGAGGATGAAAGCAATGATGCTGAAGATTGGGGTCCAAGAGATCCCACAGGCCTCAATCTGGCAGCGCCTCGAACAGCTGGCATGCAACTCTCGTTTCGACCAAAAGCTGCATCAGCTAGTTGACTCCTTCCTCCTCTCTAATCATCCGCTTGCGGATAAGCAGAGGAAGCAGTACCCCCGAGAGTTTATGGACTTCATCGATCGATACAGGGTGATGTGCGCTCTTGCATTTTCCCGAGTGGCAACGTTGTCCGGTGATGCCGCAGGGGTCCGCGAGAAAATGGACCTTACGATGGCACTGGCTCGCCACTGTATGCACTTCCAAGCGCAAACCTTTAAGGGGTCGCGAGAGACACTGAGCAACGATACGCTCCGCCTCATGGGAACCTGTTACATTCCGTCGCCTCTTGCGAGTTGGAATCGAAATCTCATGGGATACAGCAGTTCGTCTGCGGAACAGCGATGGTTGAGGACCGATACGAGTATCAAGCACAACGACCTCACCAAGCTGTCGCCCATTGAGTTGTCAAGGGATGTGGTCAACCCGGCTGAAGCTGCGAAGTTCTTCAAGGGATTTCTGCAGCTCAGGCCGACACTTTCTTTCATCCCTGGAGCGTTTCTGGCAATCAAGGCCCTTAACCGATTTCCCACGCTGAATTCTCTGAAAGAGCAAGCGACTCACCTCGAGAATGATCGCAAGGAACACGGCTACGATCTCCCTGCCGTGGATGCGAACGGGATTGGTGAAGTGGCCGCCTTTCGCAACGAAGACGACGATGAAAATAACCCGCTGATGCGCGGGTGGGCCTCGTTCATGAATGCGATGGCTGAGGCCTACCCCGGGCGATGCGTCGGCATCGATGATACGCTCAATTGGGGAGCCAGCACCCAAATGACCTACGAGGACGGTGCGTCACAGATCACCATCCGCCCGACTGACGGATGGGTGTATGTCCCAGCGATGAACTCGGACATATACGATCCTCAGGAAACGTACCTCCACGGAACGAATCTCCGATACCTCTGGTCGATTCTTGCTCACGGAGGCTTGTTCGGAGAGGATTACGTGACGGACGATCATGGAAGTCACGAACCCTGCGTCTGGGTGACTGGACACGCCCCCGAGGCTGCCGGTAGCTATGCATCTGGCACGTACCTCGGCGGAGGCTACTGGTTCCAGGTGATGATCTGCGTCTCCCGAACTATGGTGAACAGCCACAGTCGCACGACGAAGAAGCTGGGGGGATCCCAGAAACAGATCCGCGTAGGAACTCGATTTCTCGAGCTGTGCGGAATCGCGTTCAGGCCCTTCCGCCTCTTGGATGACCGCGAGCAAGGGGTTTCTACTTCCCCGAACTACGTCATCCACGGACACCGATTCCTCAGTGCCGATGGGACGAAAGCCGTGGCCTGGCACCCGTGGATGGAGGCGAGCCCGATCGATCCTCGCATTCTGAAGCTGCTGGGAGACAGTGTCGCGCGCGACAATGTTGAGTTTGCCGACCTAACGATTCAGGGGGGCAACACTACCCAACAGGCTGCATCTACCGAGACGGAGCAGCCTGTGGCGACCGCGGCCGATGATCAGGCTGCGGCGAGTGGTGGTGAGGCAACGGAGCGAATCACCGTCAACCCGATAGTGCTTCGACGCAATCACTGGATGCCCGACTCGTACGGGACGAGTGAGCAAGCCACTGTCGGTGGAAGGTATGCATTGCTATCCGAGCTCCAGTCCTCTAGCTACCGAATCGAGCTGGCTCCTTTCTTTCAGTCGCGTGCACCCATGCTGGGTGAGGAAGGCAGCCAAGGCTTGCCAAAGCCTACAAAGCTCGAGACAATAGCCGGAGGACCCTCCAAAGAGTGGGAGGCATGGTGCAGGCACTACCGAAAGGCATACGGTGCTCTGCTCGGCAACTTCGGCTACACGTCCGCCAAGAACATCAAGGGTATCGTATACGATGAAGAAAATACGACGGATATCATTGGCGCGCCTATTTGGAGCCCAGCCGATGCCCTTGTGGCTGTCTCGATTCACGGGATCAGAACGGTCACGACCATGGCATCCACGATTGCATTTGGAGGTGCTCCGCCAACGATCAAGCCGGCAGTACCCAGCAAGCCGCAGAGATTCGTTGTCATGCACGATGGCCTGCTAACCTTCAGATCTGCCAAATCCTGGCACGCTGGTGAGATGAACACCCATCTGAAGAACGCGCTGGCAAGCTTTGGATTCCCTGAGTCCGAAGTTCGGGTACAGGCGTTTGATGAGGGCGAAAAGCTCAAGGAGTTGGTAGACACTCTCGAGCTGATGCAGAGTGACCCATCTGTCCCGCCATCGAACGTTCACATCCTCATCCTCTGGAAAGGAGACGAGTTGTGGAAGATGGACCAAGGCTGGAATAAGCTGACTGGTGACATCGATATGGCACGATCACAATATGCCAAAGTGACCGCCCGGGACGCCCTTGAGAAGTATAACACGATCTACGGATCGGTGTCCCTTTGCGGACCAGTGTCACCGAGCATGGGTTTCCTTCCGACTCTTCCTGGCCCTCTCTTCGAGAAATACAGAGAGGAGATGAGGTCGATCTGGGACGAAATCAGGAGGTCCAACTTCCTTTCCCTGTCGTTTGACGCTATCCTGGAAGGACTACCATACCTGAAAGGATATCACATCATGCATGAGTCCAAAACGATCGGGGTCCTGTGTACCCGTATCTGCTCGATGTTTACACTTGCGGCTCTCGCACGATTTCCGTCTTACGCTACACGACGGGAGTATCAGATTGCCCACGATAAGATGTGGGCGCGCACTCCAGTTCCGGAGGAAAGGTCGACTGGCACGGTGAAGGCCATTGTGCACTCCACAGTGCAGGACCTTATCGAAGGGGCAGATCGCGGCGCCGATCATCGAGCCGCAAAGACCGTTGACATGAGTCAGCTTGGCTTCGATGACGAAGATGAAGAAGAGATGGCTGACGATGCAGGTCCGACTGCTCCTGAGAATCCGATCAAGCAGGAACAGACGTCTTTGGCTGATCTGTCGGGTATTCGTCATCCGGATCCGATTGAGCTGTTCGCTATTCCTGTGCATGGCCAGGCAATGCCGGTGTCGCCCGGCCTTGCTCCGGCTGCTGCGAACGATGAAGAGTCTAGCGATAGCTCCGATGGCGACGGACAGCAAGGGGATGGCGATGCAGCGATGCCTGCGGTCAAGAAAGAGGAATCCGATGAGGAGTTTAATGAGCTTCTCGAAGGAATGACTGAAGCATTCGAGAACTTGCCTATTCCCCGGGATGCAGAGCGAACAGTCGCCGCCAATCGGGACGCTGCACGACCACCTGCCGTGCCGGCGATCCCGCTATCTGCGATGAAGAAGCCAAAGCCGTTCAGTGGTGTGGAAGCCGCGGGACCTACTGCCGAGGGTCGCCAAGGCTATGCGCACTTCGAGAGCCAAGTCAGTGAAGCTGAGGCTCGACGTGAACAGGCTGCTAAAATGAAGGCGCATATCGCGGAAGTGGCGAAGGGCGCCACGGGAGTTGAGAATGCCGAACACCTCCGATCCATTGCCGATGGGCTAGCCAGGGTCATGGACCCGAACATCAACGATGACAATGTGTTCCAGGGTGCCATGTATCCTCCGGGTGACTATGCGCTTGACGCTGTCACGAACCGGCTGGCCCAGGGCCGACGCCGAGTTGAGTCGAACAGCAATCTCATCAGGGAGATGGCCAGCGACCGATTTACGCCTGTGCTCATCAACCGAGATACTGGTGAGACTGTGTCCGCCATTGATGCACGGTGGACCCCGGAGTATGGAAACAGGGGGGAGCTCGAAGCTAAGGTTGGTGCGATTATCTCCAACCTGGATGCAGTTGTTGCAAGCATGTCGACCCTCCCTGTGTTCCATCCGCACATTCCCTCAACGTATGGTATGGCCCGATCGCTTCTCAACACATACCAGTCATTGCAGATTGCCATCCGACACCGCGGCATGGGTGCGATGTCCTTTGAACAGATGGTGTTCAAGCCTGAGGACCTTGAGGTTCCGACTCCCGATGACTGGCCGGACCTCATTGCGCCTACCCCTGGAAAAGTCATTCAATCCATGCGGGTGGCCCTGGTGAATAACACGGCGGCAAGGTTGACGAGAGAGGACCTCAAGCTGCCACCGGGCTTCGCCATGCAACGACGAGTGACTGAGTTCCGTAAGCCGGAGGAAGATCCGGTGCAGAGCCTGATGGGGCTCACCGATGACCTGAGCTACGGCACTACTGGTCGATCTGGGGATGACAGATTGTCCCAGTTCCAGCGTAGTATGGCAGTACAGCTGCGGAACACTGCTGGATTCCTTGCGAGTGAGTTCCAGAAGCATGCCCGATCTATTGCCGCTTCTTCCTCGCGTCGCAGTGATGCTTCAGGTGCCCTGAGTAGTCAGGGTGAAGGCGTGGCGGACAACGATCTTCCGTCCACTGAACAGGTTAGTGTTGCATCTGAGCGCGCGACTGCGCCGCCTCCGCCAAACGTGGCTCCTCCTCCTCCGCCTACTGCGGCAGCACCTCCGAGGGCGTCCGAAGAGAGTGCAAAGGAGGATGACGATGATACCAAAATGAATGATGACACGGCCGGTCAGAAACCCGAGCAGAAACCCGAGGAGGACGCAGATATGGGTAGCGGGAAGGAGCTGCAAGACGAGGTCCCCGGCAAGGCCCCGCCGCCAGCTGCCCGAACCGCTGAGAACCCTCCGGAACACGGCCTGCGTTCCAGTCCTCCGAATGACATGGTTGCTCAGGGAGCCGCGCTCTCCGGTGCTCGAGGGCCGGACACCGACATTGACCCGGCCAGCACCACAGCCGATCAGGCGGCAAATGATCCGAGAAACTTCCGGATCGAGGGCCCTGGTATCAAGGCGACAACGATTCATCGCCCTGACCAGATGCCCGAGAGGGGTGTCGACTCTATTGCACCGATTGTGCAGTATGAGATGACGTCCGTCCCGATTGCACTGACTGACTTCGTCGTCCCGGGACTCGACATGGGCATCGATGATTCCGTCCATGGTCGGCTGGTCTCCGCGACCTGTCTCCCACCGACTGACGAACAGCGCAAGTATTCGAGGCGCCGATTCGCTATGCTGTCCTCGAATCAGACGGTGTACTTGAACGTCGCACTTCACAAGAAACCGGTAAAAGGAGATCACGATTCTTTCCTCCGACCGGAATCTTACGAAGACTGCCGCGAGATCCATGACGCTGTCCGAGCATACAATGCTAAGGAGGCAAAGTTCCGATCCGTCGGCGGAACATCCGTGTCGTGCAGCCGATTGTTGATCGACGACGCACAAAACATCCCTGTTGCCAGGATTCCGGACGCAGGAATGATCAACTTGGTGCGGAAACTGCTGTTCCGAGTGCTGACGCAAACGAAGGAGTATCCTTCCGCTACTGCCGAGAGAACGCAGAATCGCCCCCAGGATCAAGAAAGAGGCATTCCCTTGTATTCACGCTTCGACCAGAGTGGCATTATCGCTTTCGATGTCATTCCGATGTACATGGAGCGTGAGAGGGAATACATGAAGGCCAACGCCGGAGAGAACGATGGCCGAATTCTTCTCCAGACAAATATTCTGGATGAGCGAGGCGAACCGACCGAGGTCACTACCCGATGCATTATGGAGATCGCTCGGACGGACAACAACCGAATGTTTGGGTTCTTCTACTCGACGATCGACAACGATGGAAGTCCTCAATTTGTCGGCATTCGAGCCACCTACGGTTTCGGCCCTGATAACTTCAACCGATTCCGACTGCTGACCAAGTGCCAGCACGGGCCATTTATCCAGCTCGCTCAGGATCATTACGTCGCTGGCGAGAGGAAAAGAAATGTGGCCCGATACCATCCTCAGTATGGATGGGGATGCGCAACGATTCGCGAATTCTTCGGGTACATGAGCGATTGCAAGCTCAATCCTCCGAAAGGACGGCTGTTCCTCACTCTGCTCCCGTATGCTCCCGGATCTGGGAACAACAATGAGTGGGAAGAGGTGTACATGAACGTCCGAATGAACCCGGGGCGTGAGACGCTTTCGAACACCGCGTCATCACAATCCATGCTCCCTGAAGGGATGGGATCCAACCGCATGATCGTGTTTGCGATTGATTTGCACATGATTGCGGCGGGAATCAATCCGATTGTATTCCACCCGAGGGGATATTATGCGATCAAAGACAGTATCCCTCTCGCCTGTATGCCCATTGCATACTTCATGGACACGGGATCCCTCGTGTTCAACACGGCCTTCAAATATGTTGGAGGCCCAAAGTTCGGCACTGGCCCCAAGAGAGGAGACCACAAACGAGAACGTGGCCGCTTGCTAGTTTCGACTGCCCCATGTGCGGAGCATCATTCCCGGTGGGTCTCCACATGTGTCACTCTTGTTCTACGCCGATCCTGTGAACCCATTTCAGGTCGAGTACTATGGAAGTCATGCTGAATGGCTCAACGAGCTCATTGAGCGAAACGAGCTTAAAGAATTCCGACTTCACGAGTACCCTGCAATCAAGCAGCTGAGGAATTTCCCGGTGTCTAGGTCAATCGCTGAGGACCACAGGCAAACCGCGTTCTTCGGGGTGCCACCGATCAAATGCACTGCAGCTGATACATCGCCGAAAGAAGTGGAATTGTTCAAGAAGAGCGTGCGCGGAGCGATTCAAGGCGCCATTCGATTGGACATCTCCATTGAGAGGCTTGTTGCCGGTATCACTGGCAAGGAAGCTCGGAGCGGTGTGGAAGAGTTCCTCAACTCGCAGTCGATCGCCTGTGCAATCACGATAGTCAAGCACTTCGGCGCGGTCTTCGCCACATGCCGCGAGAAGCCGCTGTGCTACTATGCACGATGGTCGATCCACTGTCAGCGCGCATACCGAGTCTGCCTGTCGCGCGGCTATCTCTCCCCCTTTTACACAGGAGGGACCATCGATTATACCGTCGACTCAGACATGGTCGAGAAAATTCGGCTTGCGCATCTGCCATTGCAGAACGCCAATCTGGCGATGAGAAGGCAAATTCGACTTTCCACCGAGTTCGGAACGTTGGATGAGTTCCGTGCCACTATCACGGACACGCAAAAGTATCAGCGATACATGCGTGTCGATAGTGAAAGCCTTTCCGCGCTCCTTGCCAAGGTTACCCTCACGACGTGCTACGGCATTCCGATAAAAGGTGAACCTGGCTACATCTCTGACGATGAAGCAGAGGAGATCGAAGGAACTGCGGCGGCAACTGAGAAGCCCAAAGGGAAAGGAAAAGGGGAAGAAGAAGAACCCGATGTCCAAGCCATCAATTGGCGTGATTTGGACCCTTTGGGGCGGAAGTTCATCCCGCACCATACCGATTCCCGATTCACGATTTTTGCTGATGGGAATACGGCACTCCTTGATGCCCCCGAACGGATGAGAAGCGTAAGGAATTCAAGGAGTTCATTCGCGATCACTCTGTCAAGATTAAGGAATGTTTCGACGATGATCGCGCGACTGAGAAGACGTTCTTCAATCTTGTTGAAGGCGTAAAGGATCAGCTCCCCGATACTAAGAGAACTGACCCTGTTCTTATGAAAAAGAACGAAGATGTCTTCGAGGCTCTACCCGATGAACTAGAAGAGCCTCAAGATCTATTCGACGTCGCAGCTCAGCGGGCACGACGACGTGCTGATGCGCCTCAGCGCAGAGTACAGGCCACTGAGCAACGGCACGCATCGATCCCCGAAGCTCATGCCGTCCCCGTTCCTCCGGATGACGAGGACGAGGATGATACTGAGCTCGAACGGGCGATCCGACCCGGCCCGAAGTCACAACGCACTGGGCGAGAGCATCTCGGAGGTGTCGCTCCTGAGACGAACCCGCCTCCGCCTCGCGAGATGCCGCCTCCGTCTAACCCACCGAGTCGGAAGACGTCGAGGCAATCGGGCTACAATGTTCCCCACGCTGAAGGGGAGACACTGATGGTCTCAGGAAGGGCACCCTACTCCGATCAAATGGGTCTACCCTTGGTACTGCGAATGAAGACCCGGGTTCCGGAGCCTGATTTGGACAACCCGACGATTGAAGATATTATTCGCATGTATCACGCACCGAACACGCTGCCTGTTGTCAGGAAGAAAGTCGCCAATGTCATCATTTCGATGAATGCAAATCCCGATGACCCTATCAATATGAAGGCGGCTGGCGTAGTTCCTCCCTCTGCCGAGGAAACAGGAGCGGGAAGAGCTGCCTCGCCTGGAGGCACTTCCGCTACTACGCAGGAACGGATTAACCCCAAGTTCCCTGCACCAAATACTCGCACCGCTTCGAACCCACCTTCGAAATCAGCCCGCGACGAGAAATGGGCTCCTTCGATTGTGCGGCCAACTCCTGGTCGGGTAGTGCAGAGGCGCGAGGGCGTACACAACAGCGTGTTGCTGAGACTGCGGATCCCGCACCTCCAGCTCCATCCGATTCCGCTTCGACTGAGCCACGATCTCGCACGATGGGCCCGGCCAAAGAAACAACGGCCAAGGGCAAATCCCGAACTGGCTCAAACGTGACAGGCCTCATCGATGAAGCTGATGACACGAATCAACCGACGAAGGGCAAAGGAAGAGGGAAAACCGAGAAAGGAAAAGGAAAGCAGGAGAAAGGCCGAGGGAAGGGTGATAAGGGAAACAAAGGAAGGGGCGGTTCCGGACGAGGAAACAAGGACCGTACCCGTAGCCCCACGACTCGTAGGTAACGACCGTCGACCTGCGTGGCGATGCATTGTGTCACTGCAAGGTGAATCCGGTTGAGTCTTTCTGACCCATGCTCCACACGTCATTCGGGTCAGGCGGATTCTGATGGTGAAACCCGGCTATGATACAATTTCCGCTACTTCCTCAGCCCTCCTTGCCTGCGCCGCGCTGAGAAGACCCACAGGGGTACAATGGCTAGCCATGGTATTTTCCTCGTGTGTCCCTCGCTGTTTACGGACACTCGATGCTGCCGAGTTCTCACTCTGAGCGCATTGAGTCTAATATGTAAAACCCGCATAGATCCGATGGAACATCCGATTGCCACCGATCATTTGGCAACTCGCTATGCGCCTGACGATCACAAGAAGGCTGCGTTTGTACAGAAGTGAAACATAGGTATGATCCAGATGCAGAGACCGACCCACATCTAATGGTTCTTAATTGCTTCAAGCTTAGCTGGCCGGAAGAGGTGTGGCTCGGTGCACAATCAGTGGATGTGACTCTCCTAAACTCCGCTCTTCTCACGCGTGAGCTCGCGTCGAGGGGGGTGTGATTTGTCACTGACATGCGTATATGTGCTTCTGCCTTCTGGTTAGGAATCAGACCAACTTTGTCTCACTACGCAGCTTGACTGCTCAAGGACCGCTGTTGCGAGTCCCAGGAAAAGGCCGCTTACGACCTGGGGGTTGTAGGACTTGCCTCTTACCTGAGCGTCCACCTTTACGGTTTTAATCTCTGATTGTCCTGCTCTGCACCGCTTGCTTTGCTTTGATCTGCGATCGGCTGCCTTGGGCTTTGTGAGTGGAATCCTCCGCTTTTCACACTAAGGTTCCCCTTAAGGCTTGATAAAAACTCGCAGATCGCAAGGGGTGTCCCGCTACAGGCTTTTGCGCGAAACAGGTACCGAAATCATCAAACCGCAAGGGATGTCCCCCGGCAGGGCTTCGCGGAGAATAATGCATGGGTGGTGGGGTGCCGGGGAAGGGAGAAAGGTGTGTAGTGGAGGAGAGGGGGGCCTGAAAGCAGGTACATACCCCGTTAAAGCAAGAGCTAGGGATTTCACACATCTGCTGGCAAAATCTGGCGGAAGTGATCCACCATCGAGCAAAAAGCCCGTAAATGTTGCATTAATTAAACGAAGGGATAAGGATTTCACACATCTGTTGGCACATAATCTGGCGGAAGTGAGCTGTGATCAGCCTTTTGCTCGGTCGCAGCGCACTTCCACCAGATGTTGCCAACAAACGTGTGAAATCCCTAGCCCTTTGTTTAATGCGGTATTTACAGGCTTTTTGCTCGATGGCGGCTCACTTCCGCCAGCAGATGTGTGAAATCCCTAGCTCTTGCTTTAATGGGGTATGTACCTGCTTTCTGCTCGGTGGCGGCTCACTTCCGCCAGATTTTGCCAACACATGCGGTGGTGGGCTGGGCTGGGGGCTGGGGCCCGCAAGGGGTGTTCCATTAGGTTTGGAAGAAACGCAGATCCCAAAATCGCGGATCGCGAAGAGTGTCTCCCTACAGGTTTGTATTAGAAATAAATGCCCAAATCATAAACCGCAAGGGCCGTCAAAAATTCGCAGATCGCCAGGGATGTCCCTATAACATGTCATGTTTTTGGTGTTAGCACCGCTATAGTGACACATATTCCGCTGAAAATGTGTCATGTTTTTGGTGTTAGCAAAGCTATAGTGACACATATTCCGTGGAAAAATGCGTCGTCATGCTTTTTGTGTTAGCGCCGCTATAGTGACACATCTTCCGTGGAAAATGTGTCATGTTTTTGGTTTCAGCACCGCTATAGTGACACATATTCCGCGGAAAATGTGTCATGTTTTTGGTGTTGGCACCGCTCTAGTGACACATATTCCGTGGAAAATGTGTCATGTTTTTGGTTTCAGCACCGCTATAGTGACATATACTCCGCGGAAAACGTGTCATAATTTTGGTGTTAGCACAGATATCGTGACACATATTCCGAGGAAGATGTGTCATGTTTTTGGTGTTGGCACCGCTCTAGTGACACGTATTCCGCGGAAAATGTGTCATGTTTTTGGTGGTAGCACCGCGGCACCCCCCCACCCGTGGATTGTTCTGCGCGAAACCCTGCCGGGGGACAAGCTTGCGATTTGAATTTTGGTACCTGTTATAGGGACTCCACGGAATATGTGTCACTATAGCGGTGCTAACACCGTTTTCCGCGGAACTCCCATTAGTTCCTGCTCTCTTTCATTTTATTCCAACCGTGAGGGACAGAACAAAAACTAGAGAAGATGGCTTCATCCAAACCCCCATGAAGGGGGGGTCCCGCAGGGGGCCGGGCCGGGGAATTAAATAATTTGAATATTGGGAGAGGGCCCCGGACTTAAATATTTAAAATAGTTAATTCCCGGGGTCCCGGACCCTCCCCGAAAATTTGTAAATAGGGGGATTCAGGGGTTAAGGCCTCCGGCCTCTAGGGTCAACTTACATCCTTACTCGTTTTTCATCACACATTTTCATACATCATTTTCATCATCATCATCTTACCCGTTCTTCATCATTATCTCCCCCTCATTCGTTTTATGCTAGGGGTTTCTTAGGGTTTTATCATAAATTTCCTAAATTTAAGTCCTTTTATCATCCTCTTTCATCACATTTCATCCGCTCGTTCATTTTTCATCATCATATTTCAGGGATTATCATAATTCCTAGGTTTCTAGGGTGTTTTACCCTCTAGCGTTTTATCAAATATTCATAATAAATTTTATTATGAAGCTTTGTTGGGGTTTTTGGTCTTGAAGTTTAATTATTATAATCATCAAATAAATCATTCAAATAATTTTTTAATTCATTATTATCAATATATTTTTTATCATTACTAATTAAATTATTTAAATATTCATAAACAATTAGTTTACATAACCATTTATCATGGTATCTCTTCTTATAAAAATTATATTTCATTCTTGGTATATTTGAATACATTGAAAGGTAATGTTTTAACCATTCCTTGTCATAAAGATTTTCTATTATTCTACAAAAACAAAAACTTATCATAACATAACAATTTCTTAAATATGATTTTAAGACATTCTTGAAAGGATTGTTGCTTATCTCAATTATGTTTATTAATGCATTCATTTCTCTTTTCTTGCTTCTACCGTATTCATTGTAAGCTGAAAATTTAGTTCGTCTGAAATAATGAAGTTGTTTTCCAACTTTATCTAAGTGTTTGTTAAAAATGTTTTCTTGTTCTTTTGCTCTCATATCACCACAATAATAACAACAATCTTATGAAACGATTTTATCAACTAAAACTTCAGGTAATATTTTATTTAAAGTTATTGATTTAGTATTTTTAAGTTTCTTACACGCTTCGCACTTGCTATAATCTAGGATGGTCATAGTTCCTACTATTCTAGGGCTTTCTTTCTTAAGTCTACTTACTTATTTACTAATAATAGTTCGTGTCTCATGTATTTCTTAGGTAATCCTTCAAGAACATAATATTTATTTAACTGCTTGTCTCTCTCAACTTCTTTTACTTCATATGTTTTCTCGCTCCATTTGCTCCTTGTTTCTTTTCTGCTGGTATAATTACCACCACTTTTTGTAAAAACTTTAACATTATCACCTTCTTTAATATTAGGATAATTTCTCAAATATTTTTCTTTCATTACTGAATTAGCTTTAACTTCTATATGATGCTCATCTTTATGTGCTTCATTCGGCATCATTCCCGTTGTTGAATGAACCATTTGTTTATTGTATTTATCCAAAACTGGTTTTAACATTATTGTCCACGCTCCTTTATGAACAAGTGCCCTATCGCCTATCATTTCCTTTAAGGTTCTTATCATTCGTTCAGCTACATTTGCATGAGTTAAAGTTGTATTATGTGTTATACCCTCATCTTTCAAATATGTTTGTAATGTTTTATCATTCAATGCTCCTTCATCATCACTATAAACTGACTGGGGATGACCCATTACTTTGAAACATTCCTTTAAAGCATTTAATACTGTTCCACCATCTCTATTATGCATAGGAACGACATGACATTTTTTACTAAAGTTATCCACACATACAAAACCATATAATGGATAATCTTTATTAAAAGTGTCAGTATCTTTCATTAAGCTAATCATATTCAGTAAATCCACTGAATAAATAGAACGAGCAAAAGGAGCTGAATAACTGTTATATTGTTTATAATTACTTCTCTGTTTTACTGACTGATTTTTCAACCATTCTTTTACTTCATTAAGCGTTACTACCAAACCCGCTTTTATGGCATCATCATATAAACTCTTTGCACTACCAAAACCACTTTCAATATCATAATATAGCTCCGATAACTTATTATTCTTACTCATAATTAATACTATTATATTTTGGATAATAATATCAATTCCACAACAATATTTTTCTTCCTATCTTATCCATCATTTCCTTTTCAAGCCTTTCTTGATATATCTCTTTACATCTCTTAGTGTTCATGTGCTTAGATTTATTGGTATTACTACTTATTTTTCTTCCACACTGTTCACATATAAAGAATTCAATATTATTCTTATAATACTCATTGAAGTATTTATTTTGTTTGTATTTTTCATTGTTTTTATCATTGTGTGACTTCTTTTTTGCTTGTGTTATTTCTTCGCTATTATCTTCATCTAGCGAGTTCCATAACACATCAAAAAGGTCATCATCAATGTTTAATTTTTCGCCTTTTTCCGTTACAAAGCAGGAGTTCATCTTACTGTTTAATGTTAATTATTCTTCTTTAAGTAGGGGGCGTTTTAGCACCCTCCATAAAGTAATAATTAACTGCTTAT